CTCTGTCACAACTTCTGACTTGTTTACATTCCACTCGTAAAAATGTGCCCTTTTTTGGCAAATTTAGTGTGCCCTCATCACACATGCCGCTACAACCAGCAGTGCTCATTCGGTATCTGGAAGATTACATCTCACTTTGGTCACATGGATAAAAAAAACTGGAATATTTTATGAAGTTTATAAACCAAAAGTGGGTTGACCTCGTTGTCGCAACTTGGTCTTCTTGTCCGGGAGACTTAGTAAAACGCACCTAGTCCGAAGTCCTTTGCCATAGTAGTTATCATAATTCCCAGCATCAGACGGTGAACTTGGAACATAATCTAACGTTTCGCCGACATCGTAGTCAGCATCATCAGTGAGTGTTGCCATTGTCCGCACCAAGCTACGAACTCGTCAAGGAGACAAGTTTGGTGCGGAGAATGGCAACACTTAAGGATGATGCTGACTACGATGCCGGCGAAGCATTTGAGAATGTTCCAAGTCCACCGTCTGATACTGGGAATTATGATAATTACTATGGCAGAGGACTTCGGACTAGGTGCGTTCTATTAAGTCTCCCGGACAAGAAGACCAAGTTGCGACAACGAGGTCAACCCACTTCTATAAATCGAAAGGAGACTGCGACTATACAGGGGGCCACACCATCTTAATCCTCATATCTTCGATTTTATAAACCAGATTGATAAAAAAATTAAATTCACGAAGGAAGTAGAGGAAGGTGAGCGGTTAACGTCCCTGGATTTTGAAGTGAATCACACTAATGTAACACTCAAAAAGAAATTGTTAAGAAAGAAGTCTTATGCCGGAATAATGCCCAATTTCCAGTTCCCATCACAATTAAAGGCTAAAGCATGATCATCCGAAGCCTACGTTCAACGGATATGGAATTCTGGGACGAGTTGGACAAATTGACTAGGATATTCCTTGGCAACGGCTAACCAAGCGAAATAATACAAAGAAACATACGGGCCGTGAAAAGCCGATGGAAGAACGGGACCACGAAAGAAAATTAAGAACGGAGAAGGATTCACAAGAGTTGATATGCCTACCTTCATGCGAACGAACTCAAAAAATACGGCTAATATTAAGGAAATGGAATATTTTGATTGCCATGAAAGAAAAAAAAACACTTTCACAAGTCTATCGACGCAATATGAAAGGGTACACAATTTGGATTGTTCAGGGATTTAGTGTATATCATGCGGCGCCTGCGAACAGGAATATATTGGCGAAACAGGGAGAAAAATTAGCATAAGAACCAAGGAACATCAAAAGCTCTGCAGGAAAATGGATACTGAAAGATCAGAATTAGCGGAACACATCGCATAGACTGGGCATCAGGTCAATTGGAAGGCAACAGAAAGGAGGGCCTCATACGGTGAAAGCACAAGGAAGGGCAAGATTAGGTAGGCCATTGACATCCTTGGAGAGGAAAATCTAATGAACAGGTGCAAGGTAAAGTTAGCGATAAATTTGACTTCTGCTAAGCAAACTCGAGGAAAACAAGAATAAAGAAAGACCAACAAAAAGGTGAGCCTGGATCAAGGATCTATTGCTAACCGGAGGAGAGGGATCGCGATGAGAAAAGGGGGGTCGGATATTTGCAGCAATCAAGCGAAGACGTTGTCAGTGAGTGATGTCTGTTCGAATAAACCAGTACAACTTTGGAGGCTAGGCAGACGGATAAGAAAACCGTCACAGAAATGTGGCGTTATGGTCAAAATGTACTAGAAATCCCCTTGAGATGCCACATGCGACCAGAGATAGGTGTCCACAGTTTTCTTAGGTAACACGGGTTTAGTCAAGGAAAAGAACCGTGAAGGCGATATCTGAAATCTACAAGCATGGCAATCAGAGCCTGGGCGCTCTGATAGGTGAGACGGCAGAATGCGTGCTCCTAGGGCCTCTAGTCATAGCTCCTGGAGTAAAACACACTGGGACTGGAACCGAGTGAAATCGGTCGACCAGAAAGATGAGACACGTATCTACGGGATCATGAGGGAGATATGGACAGGAGGCTTGAGTCGGATTAGCCGATCGAAAGAGAGGGGTCCGGGTCAATAGCGAATATGATAAGGGCACACTAAATTTCCTAAAAAAGGGCACACATTTTAACGAGTGGAATGTAAACAAGTCAGAAGTTGTGATAGGGCGAGAGCTGGATAAGAGGGTAAAGAGTTGATAGATGAGCCAGGACAGAAAGAAGTGATAGTGTAACTATTTTCGACAGAACTTTGGTCGAGGGATTGATTTTATTTGTCTCTTTGACGAGGCCGTGCTTGATGAGGGGAATGGCAGCACTCACTGATGATGCCGACTACGATGCAGGCGATACGTCTGAGAATGTAACAAGTCGACTGTCTGATGCTAGAAATTATGAGAACTACTATGGAAGAGGACTTCGGATAAGTTGCGCTATACTAAGTCCCCCTGACAACAAGACCAAGTTGCGACGAGGTCAACACACTTATAAAATTAACTATTGTAATGGCAAATACATGTTTGCCTCAGCAATAATCCCCCATGAAAATGCGATTTAGCAGAAGCCTCACTTGCAATGAATATATACGCTGTGAGTCACTAAAACTAATGGCTGTGGCGGGATGATAACGTGTCGCCATAATGCCTAGATTAGAATCCCATTGGGAATAATAATAGGACCTAGCAAAGTTGAAATCACAGCCTAGCCTGAATAGGAAAGGCTTATGGTGCAAAACTTAGCGAAATTCAATGGTTCCGTTATCAGCACCTAACTCGCCTTAAACAACATAGGGTAAGCAAATTCTTATAAGTTAATTGCATACGATAACTTTTTGGAAACTCCACGAACAGATTGGCCTACCACAGCCCGGTAAAATGCATCCAATCAAAAAATTCGTTGTAACCGAAATGACAGACAATTCTCCCTCAGTTTTTATAGTTTTACTGCTTATTTAACTACATAATAGAAAAGTGGAGATGATGCTCAGTTAGGGAATAGCCTTAAATCCTTATGCTCAGCTAGTTTTATATCATTTTAGCAGAAAATGCTACTTACAATAATTTATACAATTCCTTTAAAACTGCGCTTTAATCTCCAGTATACTGAATATAGAATGTGGTACAATATTTGGCTAATTATGAAAGATAGGCTTAGTTTTTTTTATGAAGATACACTATTGGTAAACTATTCGTTTAGACACTGGATTTTTACCCTCCAATAAGCAATTGAGGACAAGACTTGATTTTAGCCTAGTTTCATTTAGTGGTACACTCGAAAAATGGTTTATCCCTTAATGTAGGTTCCCTTCTCGCTTTCGTTTA